TAAACTTCCTTTTAAAGCGAGGAGAAAAATAGGTAGAACTATTCAGAATAAATTATTTAAGCCCTAGGGATTTACAAATCACAATATGGTCTATATTAGTATACACAATTAGTTGATTTTGCGGCTAACAATGATAATTACAGATAGACTTTTAGGTGAATGACTTTAAGATAGAGAGAGAGACAGAGAGAGAGAGAGATAGTTGAGCACTTTTCAGCTGACATATGATGAAGTCAAAGGTGTTCAGATTATAAGATTTTTGAGGATTCTTGACAGCCGTTTTGTCCTATTCTGTCACTCTTCAGTAGCGTGTACCTATGAACCCTCCGGGGATGGAACCCAGGACCTATAGGTCACGAGACCAAGCTAACTGACCACTCAGAAACTGAATTCTAACCTTCAAGTGTTGTTTTTCAGGAATTTGATTGGTTACAGGATTTCATCGTTAGCCAGCATTGGTTAGAAAACAATTGGAAAGCCTTGGAGAATGGTACAGCTGCTTCGTCCTAGTTCAAGACACTTCATTAGTACGTGTACAACACAGGGGTTAGAGTACAGGACCTTCCGGTTAGAAGGTGAGCTAGCTCGTAGACCATTAACCCACTGGGGGCCGACGTATTGGCCAGTTCATGAATTCCCAATTCTGCCAATTCACGAAATAGCTCGACCATCAGCCAAAGTCATTGGCGAGGATGGTTGTCACCTGGCAACATGAAGGTCTTAGTTTCTATCCCTAGTGGGGTTGCGGTTGCATATTTCTGGAGAGTTGCAGGTTAGGATAAAACTACTCTCCACTAAACCCTGGTTCCTAATGCTTCTCTAATAATTTATATATATATATTTATATATATATATATATATATATATATATATATATCAGCCTCGCACCGACGATCCACTCGTCGCTTCGCATTTGGATTCTACTCAAACGATGGCCTGCATTACGCGCGATGTCATTCGACAGTTTCCTCAGTGTATGCTCGACCCATCTCCATTTTCTGCTGAATATTTGTTGACCGATCGGCTCATGGTTGGTTTGTCACCAGCCAGAGTTTCTCGTTACTTATTCTTTCATGCTGGCTAGTCATTTGATCTTCAGTATGGGGTCAGCGAAGGGGATAGCTGTTGAAAAAAGCCTGTAGTAGCCTGTTGGAAATCCTTTTCGTGACACGCTGGCCAAGTTTCCCACCCATATAGAATAACTGACTGAGTTCACATTCGTGCTAAAAATCCGAATCTTGTTCTCTATGCTGAATACAGCAGGGAATTCCAAAATTGGTTTCAGGTTGGTGAAGACGTGTCTTGCCTTTCCGAGTCTGACTTTGACATCTTCGTCCGTGCCTCATCCTGAATTTGAAACGATGCTTCCTAGCTGGAGGATGTGAACTCTCCCAAATTTCTTCCACTGATTGTCATTGGTCCTTCCCGGGGGCACTCCTGTTTGCTTATCTTCATCATATCCGTCTTCTACATGGCCACCTACAATTCTGTTTTCGCTGCCAGTCTCTTCAGCCAGTTTGTTGGTTTTCGCCTGTAAGTCTTCGAGTTTGTGTGACCTTAGACATATGTCATCCACGCGCGAAATCTAGATCTTCTAGAGTCTTCTGGTTGGTCCAACGTACTCCTGTCTTCTCCAATAGGTAGGCAACTTCCCTTCCTTCCAACATCTGCTGCAGTCTCTTGGTCCGTTTTCAGTGCTTATGGCGCAATTCCATCTGTTCCTACTGCCTTCCTGGACTTCAGTAGCTTGATCGCATCCAGAATTCGTGCTATATATATATATATATATTCTCCAACTGAAGCGTTTAACAGTTTTAGGTCTGAAACCCCAACAACTGGTTTCTTAGTAGTTCATTTCTTTCTTTCAGTGTTTTCTTAGCTCAATGACAAACGGATTCATGCAGAATTATTCACAATCTCCTTTCCTCTTATCCATCAATGAAATCATTTAAGGCAAGGCTTTTTTTCATAAGATCTATTGTTATTAAGCAACTTTCCCTCAATCAATGTAAACAAAATGCAATCTTATTATGTTGCCAACCTAGAAAAGAAAAATGTGCCTTCGATCGTTTCATGTAATATCCGTTAAGTATTTTGTCTATTATACTGTTATTGCTGTTGATTTAATAACAGTATTATAATTATATATATCCTGCAAACTGTCTCTTTCACTTCGGGGAAGTCTGCTTTAATATGCGCGTATATCCATATCTCTACGTATCTGTGTATTCATGTCACTTTTGTCTGTTTGCTTTGTTCCACTGCCTTGTAAACATATATTGAAAGAGGCAAGTAAATACATACATAATTATGACTTGATATATAGCCTGTCAGACTGTCATATATATATATGGTGCATATATATTCCTGTATATATATATATATAACCGAATAACTCTGAACAGACACTGAAGAGGCATGAGATGGAGAAGAATAGAGGGAACTTATTTCTGGATTTTCTTACCTTGATATTTACAAAAAATGTTTCACATTTCCCTGATCTCTCTATGTCTCTCTCTCTCTCTCTCTCTCGCTATCTCTCAATATCTTTCTGTATTTCAGTACCCCAAGTTCCTTTTCGCCTAATATAATGGTCCATCAATAAATTATTTATAATTATTAAGGCGAAGGCAAAGAAATACACGTATGTTCTTCTTACACTAATCTAATAAATTATTTCTAATATGATTACTATTGTTGTGATCATGTCAAGTAAGATGTACATTCATTTTCTATACTACTTACTATTACTAACAGTAATCCATTTAATTGAGAATTCCCTACACACTGACATGCGTGCGTGTGTGTGCGTGTACACAAGGGTAACTGTTATTATGAGTATATACTAAACACACGATAATAAAGAAAAAAATGACAATAGTGCTATCGAAATCCTCCTTGTGATTTCACTCTCAATAAGATTGTAGGCTTTTTTTTTACCTTGAATTCATTTCAGATGCTTCTTAAGAGATTCTCTTGACACCTGATGCTATTTGAGAAGCTATGGAAAGTCAATGTATCACCGTATACTATGGGTCATTGTCACTGTGATTTAGTGAATCTTCCTAAAGCCATAAAAGAGAAGAAAGATATAGAGTTTGTGGATCAACATGTGCAGAATTCGCTTCTCAGAAATAGGATATAGACGAGAAAACATCAGTTGATGAGAGTTCTACAGACTTCAGTAGATTGATTATAGGAAGACACTTTGTGTAGTCATTATATACCTGATAAAGTTTTTAGGACCTATATAAATAACCTGAATCTTAGCCAAACTTATTCCTATACTGATGAAGTTAACAAGCCTATCGTCAAGGTGCATTTTATCACTGAGTACTAGTATTAGTAGTGATATAGATTACTGAAATCAACCGGTAGTGCTTGCTAACCTCACTTGCTTCTTTCGGGCCATTCCTTACCAGCGCAGCATGTCCAATCAGACTCAGTTGACAAAGTCAAATCAGATGGTTGGAGGCGATCGGCCACAGGAAGCCTTGCACCTAGGTTTCGTACTAGTCGGCACTCGCCGGTCAGCAAGGCATATCTGCAACCTTGAAGGAACTCGTGTCCTTTCTGAGATTCGAACCCGCCTCATTCAGTGTTGCACCAAAGAGTGGACTAGACACATCACACTAGTTACTAGTGTCCAATCAAACTATCCACTACAGTCCTATAGGAGTCAGCCGCGAGCTCGAATAGCTCATTGATAACGTTTCAGACCCACTTCAGCACTGGGTGACCCGGGTTCGAATCTGAGAAAGGACATGAGTTTCTTCAAGTTTGCAGATACGCCTTGCTGACTAATGAGTACCGACTAGCACAAAACCTAGGTACAAGGCTTCCTGACGATTGCCTCCAAATATCTAATACCATCAAATCAATGCACACCGTGATGGTGAGCTACCTAGAATGGTGGCCACATTACAAACCTGACTGACTGACTGACAGAATTCAGTCTGCACCAAAGAAAGGACTAGACACATCGCGCTAGTTACTAGTGTCAAATCAAACCATACTATTTGAACTCAGGTTAGCTACCTGAGCAAGTCGGTAACATAAAGAGGGAGTCAAATTCTGAAGGTGAAAATCCACCACTCTTGAAACGTAAAGTACTCGAATTAGAATTTATAACCTATTCGATAGACCTACTTTAAGCCTGGAAAGATGTCTTTGTGAAATATGCCTGACTTTCAATCGAAATGTTTCTCTGGTAAGCTTTAGCTTCACTGTGGGCAAGCGAAAAACGTAGACTTCTGAAGGTTGGATGAAATGTGTCTCATGTTTCATGAAAAGGATTTTCAATAACAGCTGCCACATTTGCTGACTTCGTACTGAAGATCAAACGGCTAGCCTGCCAGAAAGAATTAGTAACAAGAATCTCTGGGTAGCAACAAGCCAACCATGAGCCGATAGCTCAACAAATATGTAAGAGAAAATGTAGATGCACCAGGCATACGCTGGGGAAACTGTAGAATCACATCGCGCGCAATGCAGGCCATCGTTCGAGTAGAATCCAAATGGGAAGCGACGAGTGGGTTGTCGGTGCGAGGGTGATATGGAAGAGGGTGTGGCGTTGGGGGAGATGAGAGATTACGGGCAATCGTGTACCCAGCTGAAGAGGACACCCGAAAAGATAACAAATTGGAGATTTGTTTGTTGAAGCCCTATTTTCCACTTGGAACCCAAGGGAATAACAAAAATAAAACATTAAGGTTCCAAAAAGTGTTTGCTTTGATGATTAGTTCAAAAATATAAAGTTTCCTATTACCTATATTGTTAATCACAAGGTAAAAGAAAACATGCACAGTAAACAAGAATGTTCCCCCTAATTATCAAATGTATCATATTTTTGGTAAACAAATAAACTGGAGACGTTCAGAAGTCAACAGACCGGAATTTATTCTAGATAAGGACGACCATTACAAGAGTCAGTAACAAAATTTACTCATCCTACTCTTTTGCAATCAACTACTGAAATTGTTTGGGTAATTTAGTCTTACCTTAGGCTCTTAAGAATTATAATGGGTACAGAAATGCTTTGCGGTTTTTGAAATAGTGTCTTTTAGGGCATTCCTTTGTCTATGGGATATTTGTTATTCCAGTTTTACCAAAACAGGCAGCGTTGTCTGAAAGGTTCTTTACCTGAATAAAGTGGATAAAAAATAGAAAAACTGTTAAATTCTCTGAAATCACTATATTGGGTATTAAATACATATATTATAGTAGCATTAGACTGAACAGTTTTAAAGACCTCATGTGCTTAAAGTGCATCGGTGGCACAGCGGTTAGGATGTTAGCTGACCATGCACATGGCCTGGGGTTCGATCCCAGGCTGACGCACTCCTTTACCTCGCTAAGCCAGCAGTGACTGGTAGAGCGGAAAGGTTGAGCATGAGGCTAGCAACCTCATCCTGTAATAATTAACAGTAATACAGAAATTTTAAGCTTCTAACTTGGAGCCCTGCTTTCCACTGGGAACGTGAAGGAAAAAAAATGTGCTTAAACCTTCGATATTATTGTGTCCAGCTAGGAGAAATTTCCAAGTCTGATCGCTACTTGTTAGACCAGTAACTGAAGCCTATTCACTAAGTCTTGGCTGATGTTTCATTGTGATTTCTTAAGGGTAGGACAATGCCGTCTTCTACTACCGATCATATTTCTGATCTTGATGGATTGAATCGTACAACAGACTATGGGGAGCGACAAGGCGGTCATTTGTTGAACTGAAGAAAAGATTTTAGACGATTTTGGCTTCGCGAACGCTTCGTATATAATGTCACACAAGCTAGAAGATCTGCTAGCGAAAAGCAACATGCCAGAAATAAAGTTCATTAAAGAAGGGACTTTAAATGAACACACAGAAGACAGTGAGATGATAAAGATACCTTGCCTATAACAAAAAGTGCTGTTTCCTATCAACGGAAGAAACTCGAAGGAAGTCATAGTTTCCCCTACCAGCAGCACAGCTGAGGATAACAAAGCTATTCAAATCTTCATTACTCTGAAATCGGTGGTATGGGAAACTACTGCCCTCAGAGTAAAGAACAAGATTATGATTTTCAATACCAATGTGAAGTTAGCAGATCTATATAGATCAGAGACTTGAAGAGTTACCAAAAGCATTCAGAACTGCCTTTACTGCCTCCTTAACTAAGATCAAATGACCAGAAAGGATAATCAAATAGAAACTATGGCAGTGAACAAACCAAAAGCCTAACACTTGTGCTGAAGAAAGTAAAGATGGATTAGAAACATACTGAGAAGACAGTTGAATGGCTTCAGGTGCTAGTTAGGTCCTCTGTTGTTACCTCAGGTGTAGAATCATTAGTGAGATAGAGGATGCAGTGTTAGCAGGAAGCGAAATCTTGCTGGGTGATCGTTGAATCGGCTAAAACAAAGAAAGTGACAGCAAAGAACAGAAGATGTTCTGCTGAAACCTCTGTGTTCTACTCAGGACCCAACGGAATTATAATAATGATAACTATTTCTTTAGAAATGACGAATAAATCAAGAATTGTTTTCAAGGCTTCTTCTTTTTCATCTGATGAAAGAGACTATTTCACTTAATCTGATATATGATTAACCTTTTGATTGTTTAAATACACTGTCTGGTAACTAAGGTTAAACAATTTATCACTAGGCAGACTGTTGTCAAAGTCAACAAGACAACAGAGAGGGTAATAAATAAAGAAAGAAATAAGACGGACTTTAATCACATTTAGTGAATCAGGAGTAGAAAGTTAATAATGAGAAAATAACCAAAGCTGAGATTTGTCTTTGTCTCTTCATTGCTCTTGTTGCTCTAATAACAACCAACTGTTCTAATATTAATAATATTAATAGTAATAATAATAATAATACTAGGTTAAATAGAAGAAAATTCTGTCACAGTTATTGTGACAAGTAATTAATTTTTGATTTTTTTTTCAGCTTCTAGCGTTTCACATCCAAAAGTCGTCATCGGTTGGGTTAGATTATTCAGATTAGAAACTAAACTGTGTGAACTATGCACCATACCTTACTCACTTTTTGCACAGTCTACGGCTTACGTTGTCATCAAGTTAATCAAACACAAACAGACACATACCCACGTGTATCTCTGTTCGTACACTGTGGCATTTGCAAACCCGCATGGCTGAACAGTCAAAGACAGACCTACATGAAAAGACATTTATTAATTCAGGAAGGTGGGACAAGAGTGTAAATAAAAAAAGGAGACTGTAACTGAAAGTGAATAGCGGTACTGCTACTGTTGTTTCTAACGTGTTAATTAACTAATTAATTCCCACAATAACCTTTTTTATTTAATTAATTAATTAATTAATTTAATAATTAATTTTAGCGTCATCCAGGTAATAATGGTAAAGTACTGTCAACATAACTTCAATACCATGGAAATCGTGCGCTGCTTAATACTACTATCTAAATTTTTAAAACAAATATAATAACATTTAATAAGCAAGAATACAATACCGAGGAAATTAATTGCCATATTCACCAATACATCAACTGTTCAAGTACAGATTTACTTTTCTATCCCTTTTTGATTCGAGTAGAACATTGAACTTCAGGCCTTAGCTGTCAAAATGTCAGTAGCAGTGGTGTTATTTTCACGATTTCGGGTGGCTAGACTTACATCCAGTCTTTCCACTTTACAGGACTTACAACTGGTTGGACGAGATTTAGGCTACCGGTGGCTAGGCATCAGACCCAGACCATGTGCGTGGTTAGCGAGCATTACAGGTTAGTTTTCAGTTGGTATTATTACTGATACCCGAAATATTTTCAAGCGTTTTATAGCAATACTTGAATCTCATTGAGATGCTCACGAGCGACTGGCCCTATTCACATAGGTAGTTAGTTACCTGGGGTTCTAGTGGGAAGTCGTGAACAGTAGGGTCCGGCAGTAGGGTCCCTACAAACCAATACTTATCTAATAGATTTTCTTCTCCTCAAGGTTTGAGTATTCCCTTACAAGCATTTCACCTCATTCTACAGTGGTATCTGTTCCTACTGTCCGTAGAAAAATCCTCAAATTTTCGTGATCAAGTTATGCAGATTAAGAAAGATTTTAATGAATATTGACGCTGGTAATTTAAAAGAAAACAGACTTAATCATACTTGGTTAGCTTAGACACGAAGGAAACACCAAATACAGAGTTAATCACGACTGATTTACGATGAAGGCATGTTTCTAATCACAAGAGAAGGAACACATACCATTGCTTTAAATTAGCAAGTACACAGTGTATATGGCTATGCCAACAAAAAACAAAGAGATATACTATCTTAAAATATTTAAATAGTCAGCAAACATCTAAAGGGTGATGTTTAAACACTTAAGAAATACTCACACCATTTAATATGTTAATTACTACTACCACTGGCATCAGCCAGCAGAACTTGCTAGTCAGATCTGAACACCTCACAGTTTTTTCACTTGGTCAGGACCGAACTCATCAGCTGCACACTTGGTCTTGACGTAGCTCAGAGAGCTAATTGCTATTTATGTTATCAAGAAGATCACACGTTTTGATATCAGCAGTCTTGGTTTTCAAAGGCAACTGTGGTGAAATAATCACCTTAAACTGTTTACACTGAGAATTAGTTTGAAAAATTGAGAACTGATTTGATAACTGTGAATTGCCCGCTATGATTCATCTGTGTAAGAGGGAATATTTAAGGCGAACGCAACAGGTATGGCCAAATCAGACTTATAACTTGCAAACTAGCTACAGATTTACAATGCACACAGTTCGAGAGATGCGACTGGCTGGTTTGAACCGATTCTGCTGTGTGACCTCATTGAGTCAGACCGAGTGTACACCGCTGATGAGCTCGGTTGTAAACGAGCGAAATGGGCATCCGGTGTTCAGATCGCCTTGATGACATGGATGACAAGTCCCTCTGGTCAATGTTAGTGGTGTGCAGTCAATCAGTGGTACGTAGTTTCTGTTACCATAACTTCCATTTCTAAATTAGAGGAATTTGGCACGAATCACATTCTAAAAGTAAGGCCTTTCTATTGCTATTCCCTCTTTTTTTTTGTTCACATCAATTCAACTTAGATGATTAAATATGACAAAAAGGCAAAAATGCCTAAAATTTTAATTCAACTAGACAGCTTCCGTTAGTTTCAAATATCATAGTTTGTAAAATCGTCTGTTATTTCATCATTAAAGGCTGATTTGGGAGAAGAAGAAAGACCAGTAGTGTAGGCACAGAGAGTTTCATTTGTACACACTAAAAACGTTGGCTTATATTAAACTATCTGTCAGCTATAATTAACAAATCCATAATGTGAAAAGAATAACAACCAAAAGAAAATAGTAATAATAATAATAATAATGATAAAAGTCTCTTTAGGCACACAGATAATCAGTTAAAACGAAAGTTCTCCATTGAATAAATAAATAAAATTGGAATGTGAATGGGCTGTAGGAAGGATGCCATTAACAAACAGATGAGATCACGATGAATGTGTTGACAAATGGGATTTTGATCTCACTATTTAATCTACATGAAAAGAAACTTGAGAATACAATAAAATCTCCTACACCAGATGGTATGGCATTTAGCATGTTGTCTTTTTTTTAAAAAATAATTTTATACACTTTCGATTTATGTGTTTTGCTACTCATCCATCACCTCAGGGGCAAATATGTATTTCATTATCTCGTTGTTATTGAAGAGGCTTTTGTGACTGACAGGTGTTGCCGAGTAGTGGGCTATTATCTACCTATAACAAGTTCATTCTGTCACACATTTTTATATAGAAACTTTACTGTGTTCATCAGTTACAACACACCAGGTTGACAGTTAGAACGAATACTCGCCAAAGATAATATTGACTAGTGTCTCCAGTTGCTCTACATATATCACGAGTTCTGTCTGTCTGTTTTCGACAAATAACTTTGCACCGATGTGCGTCAGTTCAAGTCGCTACACTCCATGTACTACACAAAGCAAGAGAAGAAATGCATAATAGAGACAGTAAATAGACGTATGAGACAAAGAAATAGAAGTAACGAAGAACAATGTAGTTTCATTGGAAATCATAAGTCACAAGGAGTGGATACATTTGCATCATTGAGAACGATTTTGAGCCATATCATCAATTGTTTCCAACCATTGGTTTTTAC